ATTGTTAATTAATTAAATCGTCAAACTCTAGCTATCTATAAACCAGAAGAGCAAACCCAGTTATTATACTTTACCAGCCGATTGTTTACAATATCGATATATGGAGGTTACCATTTGTTATATGTTTATCCTCCCATGAAAAAATTTTTTTTTACACTTACAACCAGTGAAAATGATGACTTATTTTAGGTTGTTCTAATTGATGATGTAACGTACCTTACCGATCAATAGAATTATTTGTTACTGGCCCCGGGATCATGAAGCGAGTATAGATTTAAGTCAGAGTTTGTACATTGTCTTAAGGTTTTATTATAGAAAACACATTTAATTTGAAATGTTTTTGAAAATGCTTCATCTTTTCTTTTGTTCAATTTGATTTTCTAGTATCAGTTTATAATTAATATTCTTTTTGTGAATGACTGAAATTTTGACACAAGTCTAAGACTGCTTCGGGATTCTGGGACCAGTCCCCGGGATCATGAAACATCCTAAGCTTAAGTCTAAATCTTTATGTTGTACTAAAATGTTATAGAAGTCGTGCAGACCAAAATTAAAATATACTTCTGTATTGCTTTAAAAGACCAATGCAGATACCAGATGTATTTATTCTATGGACCAATGGACATAATCACTCGATGTACTCTTCCAACTAGTGGATTAATAAAGTCAATGTGTATGTTAAATAATAGTGCTCTTTGTAATAAAATCTGCATATTTTTATAATGAAAGGGAGAGTTAGAAACCAGGAAAATGGTTTGTGATACCACATAAACATAAGGTTGTCTCAAACTTTAATCACGTTTCTTTTCTCGATAATCAGATTGATCGAAATCACGTTCCAAATTACGATCAAAACGTGTGTTTGTTTGCTATCAACACCGCGAGAGAAACTGACGACAAATTGTCTAAGAATTGGAGGCTGTGATAAGAAAGCTATATCTACCATAAATAAGATCTTTGAAGATGGCCTATATTATAGATTACGTTCTATAAAACAGCTGACATTATGAAATAAATTTACATGTTAACAGATAAGGTCTATAAGATAAGAATGTAAAGAGAATAACAAACTTTCTACAAAATGCTTCTGACAAAGACGGCCGATACGTCTGTCTGAAATTAAAACATCGTATGTCAGAACTAGATCTCCCTGGGCTCAACTTTCTCTCTCTCTCTCTCTCGCTCAAACAACTAAAGGAAAAAATGCATGCATGTAAAAAGAAAAAAAGTTTTTATACTTCATTCATTTTGATAGCGACATCACTGGTTGTAGTTACATGTATATCAATTCAGAGATGTGGATCTCATATTTTAGGAAAAATAAGTTTGTAAAACATATCAAACTTAATATAAAAAGGGACCACTATGCCCTATCCCTTCTATAATATCTGTTGTAAAAAGGCTATAGTAGTCTTTTGAACATGCAACTTAATATAAATTGCAATTCGCAAGGGCGACGGAGTCATTCGACATTTTTTTTTTGTAAGAAACGAAGACTCTGCGTAACTTTTACCGATGCACTTAGAGACCTGTTCCAAACAGTTGCACCAAAGTGCAAAAAATTTAAGAGGAAAAAAAAAGCAAATTATTTGGATCTGAAAGTTTCTGTTATTTAAGTTTTAATCAAAGAACAAAATTAAAATCAAGTGCCGCATGAAAAAACAACACTTCTATATACCGAACTTGAAAAAAAGAAGGTGTCAAAAGCTTTTTTAAGTTAAATCCAGATGTTGAACTGGAAGGGTTATCATCTGAGTGTTTGGCCACATCAACATTAAGATAAAATTTGGATAAGATAGATAAAATTGATATAAAACACGATACGAGATCTGTATGAGATCTGTGCGAGATCTGTAATCTGCACGCATATATTACAAAAAAGCGTTTGTGAGAGCATGAATTACTACCAGCGACTGGGTTTGTTGCGCCATCAGCTCTGTGTCAAAGAAAGAAGAAAAAATTTCTTATCTGCAGTTTTTATTCTAACATTGATGAAATGGATCATGGAGTTATTACTCAAAAATTTTTACCTTGAAGAATATTTAGAATACAAAACTTTTTCGCTGATAAAAATCATCGATTGTGTCAATACATTGAAGGGCAAGGACTTAGCACCCCCAATTCTTTACTGAATGTATAGATATAACTTCTAAATAATAATGTTTTATCCACATTTTTATTATGATGATGCATGTTTAATAATAACCCGTGCTGGATTTTAAGTATAAATTCAACAATTCCACCTCATAAACAAGTGCCAAACGCCTCGAGCATGTAAAGTACTGAAAAGCAACAAATTCTTATTCAATGAACGAATTGAACCAAACCATTCCTGAAGTACAGTTCTGATAATTAATTAAAGTGATAATTTATCATATAAAAATAAATAGCATCTATACTTTATAACCACGAACCACTGAAGAAAATATTGTAAATAATAATTTATTTTTTTTTAAATCTTTTTCCTTAATATTTTGTAAAATGACGTCTTCTAAAGGTATCCATAGATCGCATTAAATTTTCATTTTTAGATACGAAAGTTGTATTTTCACCAAATTCATCATCCAAGAAAGTGAAGTAAATATTGTTATAATTTTCATGTACCTAGCAATTTTTTTATTCAAATAAGAAAGGAAATACTTGTATGGTAATTTTGCTTGTTTAGTAACAAGATTTTTGCATTCGCTTTTTATAACACAAATGCCCATTCAACTTTGATACGCAACGCTAGTCAGTTCTACATAATTGGTATTTTTATGGTCAATTTATTAGCAGTTTTTCAATCTGTCATTTTCGAGTTTAATGTAAAGAATTTCATTATGTAGAAATACGGTTAGTTTACCCTTTCATAAAGGACACAATTTCACATAAACTGTGAAAAATATCACCGCACGAGACGGACACGTGCGTTTGCCAGAATTAATCACAGATGTATCGAAAATTGATCAAGACGATAAAACGCGAGATTTGGACGGCGCGTGTGCTCTATGGACGGGCCAAAGAGAGATCTTATACACTTGTATCAGCAATCGACGAAAAGTCGATGAAATGGCCACTGCTGAAATTTCATCAAGCCTGAACATATTGAGCCTTGTCGACCCGAAGGGCCAGCGTATACTTCGGTATGTCAGCATGGACTCAATAGCATAAAAGAAATCAGAAGGGTTTTAATCCTCTTATTCCTTCAAGGAGGGCAAAAAAAAAATCTAATTAGCTTTTTCAAAAGACCATTAACTTTTTTTCATATTTCTTCAGTTCAAAAACGTGTCGAAAGAAACAACATAATCCAAGAAATCGAATGTCTCATAAAGACAAAAATTGCTTTTGCAAAAGATATATCTCAAACCATGAAAGAAATTTTGCAGCCTTCAAGCGGCAGTCGATGGGTGTCCCAATATGAGTGAAAATTTCCCAAAGGAACATAGAACAGACAAACAAACAAACAAACAGGAATGACAGAGGCATGTAATATAGTACACCTTTGATGGAACTAAATATATAAGATTTCAAAAATATGATATCAGAATATCTACTATGGATTGGTACGTGATATATCTGAAGCCACGACATTTACAACAGTTATACTAATACATTGACCTAGATATTTGTAAATTAGTTTCCACCGGGAAAACCAAAACCCAAGTAGGCAAGGAGGGAGCATTTAATGGTCGCGTACCCCCCGAAAATCTCCCATGAAGTTAGGAACGTTCCCGTCAAAAAGAAAATATTTTACTGCTTAGTCTGAGATAAGACCAAGGATCTGATAATCATGGATTTTATCAAATTGTAAAAGTAATGTTTTTACTATCGTTTAGATGGATCAGTGGCGATTCTTTGATAACGGTCGAGTCGTATTACTAACAAATTAGAAACACTTTAGATATATGGCAAATACATTTTCACACAAAAAAATATACGAAAAAATTGACGAGATAAGAATCTGTTTTCGTTCAAATGTTTTAATTCTGGGGCATTTGTACGACTTAATTTTAAAAAATACACGATCATATGACGAAAAATGGAAAATAAAGAAGAACTTTTGGGTTAATTGCAAATTCCAAGAATGTCAAAAATATAAAAACGTTGCATAAACACTAATTCGAAAAACCAACACACCCTTGGGGAAAGTTTCTCCAGACTTGGCCTCTAATGCTTACTAAACAACCCTTGGAAGTCGGCTCTGCTAAACGATTTGAACTCTGCCAATTCCAAACGGCAAAATTTTAGCGAAAACACGCTTTGTTTCTGTTAAAATGGAAAGTTTATGTGTCTTTCGCGCAATATTAATTGTCTCTGTCAATATTTTAGTACTAAAATATTCATTTTGCATGTATTTGTACTTTTCCAGACGAAAAGTAATCTAAACATAGTAAGAAAAAGTTGTTTGCAATGCTGCTTTGAGGACAAGAAACCCTTACAAAACTTTTTTATGTACAAGTTAATGTTTCTGTCCTGTCACTTTTTTGAGACAGAACAGAGTTTATTTCTTTGCAAATTCTCGCAGAAAGATATACATCTGTCTTTGGAATTGGGTCAGACAGATTGGGTTGTACAAGGACACTCGAAATGTAGAGCACCAAGACTCATTTCTTAGTGTGATTGCAGTCAACTAAACTTCTGAGAGCAACGTAATGTATATAGTGTTAATGTAAACACCTCAAATGAAATATTCACGATTACACAGATATAAAAGTAAATGTTAAGGACAGAAAAACAACACAATCATTAGGAAAATTGCTTAATTACAATGTACGTACGAATGATATATAAAGTCCCAATTGTACTTCACGGAGCGCAAGCATTGGCATCTCATGGACACGTATAAGATACATGTAACAGTGTTGTACATGAAATTGCTATATTTTAGGAGCGGTTTCATATAAACTCCAAAATGAGTTTTATTGAAGATCGATCGTAATTTTTGTTTCAGAAATAAATTTTATTTTTCGGTGTTATTGTACATATCTTTCGACAAGTTGAAAGACAAAATACAAAAAAAGAACAGTTTAAGATGTTTATTGCATAATAATATAAATTTGATTAAAACAGACCAGCTGCTATTTAAAGTTATACGAGAAAAATACAAAGAAGTGCCTACAGATCTACTGCAGGCATGACATAAGATGTAACTATAGCAGTATCGTTCCAAATTTTATATGCATCATACAAGAGGATTCATTGCTCATTTAACAGAACGGACATAAAACAGCATTTTGAAGAAGAAAAAAATTCGTAATATAAAGTGTAAATCAATAATTTAAATAAATATATGTAAAGCCTAGGTCAGTATATAGACAAGAGACTGTTAGTAATGTGCATCTGTTCTCAGTGGGCAATGCACTGATTAAATTGTGGCGAGATTTCATCGAGATTTTGGCGATATCATATCATAACCCAAGATTAAACTACATCTGATAAAGAGCTTACACTCGGTATACCAGAGTGCCAAAATGCAGAAACTTCACAAAAAAGCATACATTCAAAGATAGCAATCAGCTTTTTACAGAGATAAGAAGCAAAATATAAAGTTTTGGAAAAGACATTAAAAAGTGCAGTCGGCCTGAACCTTTTAAGCACGACTTTGGAGACCCACAAGTGGCTGTCAACAAGCCGAAATAAAATCTAGCTATCTAGATTGTAACTGTTGCTGTAAAACCCAAAAATTCCTTCATGTAAAGAATGGACATAAAAACCCAAAAGAATTTCCTTTAAATTTCTCAAATATTTTTTTCTTTTTGTCAATACATTATATGACCTTTTTTATATCATTTTGATTTTTTTCTGTATCTTTTAAGTGTAATGGATATTAATCCCTTAATTATTTGACCTTGGATTACACAAATGTATCACTAATAATAGGCAGGATTGGTGTATAGGGGTTATTAATGTTGTGTATTTTCTTATCAATATACAATCATATAGATATCGACACTTGAAGCAATAAAGATTTTCGTTTGAAATAGATGACAATGTGAAATTATTTCACTTCGTATAGATGTCTATCATAATTCATGGAAGAATGCATTTGTGTGTTGCTTTTGGCCATTTAAGGTTTGGTCAAGCAGTCATAATTTTGGTTATCAAGATGGATTTTAAAGTATGCTTGTCAAGCCAAATATCCTTTCTGGAATCAAACTGCTTTTCGTCATTCATAAGTAAATAATTTATCAATTTAAATTCAGATCAAATTTAATTAATACTCCTAATTTTTTTTTTTTTTATATATATAAAAAGATCTTTTTTAGGCATCTTACTCCATATTAACAAATGCTAATGAGAATATTGTTAAATGCATGAGAGTGGATAATCTCACACTACATAATGTCTATCTGGGATTAAAAAGGGAAAAAAGTCATTGTGTTTTTAAATCTACTAATAAATTTTTGCATTTTCTATCTCCTAACGAATAATATTCAGCTTTGCAAAATGATAAAATTTAATTTACAGCACATCGCCATTTTCCCAGCCACGTGTGAATTTATCACCACGTTGCATTAAATGCTGATTTAAACCTATAAGTGTACAAGGACGCACACAGAATTCAGATATCATCAAAATATTAACATAATCACAACAAATGAAAACCATAAAAGTCATCAAATAACAAATTAAAAGTAGATCCCGAGTGGATAAACTTCAACCGAGGGAACTTATCTGAAAAGTATCGATCTTGTTCGTGGTACATAGATACAAACTTCAAAGGAGACGATTATATGAAGAAGGGAAAAGTGAAAATGAGGACATTAAAATTCGTTATCGCAAAAAGCGAAAACGCACACAGAAAAACTAATAGCGAGAAGATGAAGGAAAACAAATAAATTGCTCCAGAAACTGGATTTTAAAGTACAAGATAAGGAATAAAACGCCTACATGTTTAACTAACCGCTAAAAGTATAACATACATGTATGACATAATGTAGTTCTTCAGTTAGTGCCATTTTTATTATAATATTTCATAAAATAATTTTCTTCGTGAGTTTGAAAAAGACCCTCAATTCAATCCACATAACGTACTCACAATTGAGATAAAGTAAAAATATAAAAACAAAATTTTAAAAGATACAGTGTAACATTTATATCATGAAACAAGATTTTTTTTCTGTTCTTCAATCATAATCGTTAACATCATTACTGAACATTTTACAAACAGTTCTCGCTATAATAAGAGGGATTAAAAATATGATTTGAATGTATATAGTGACACAGGTTTAAAAAAAATCAACAAACATGTATAAAAATTTCCAAAATAAATATTCATAAACATCAGTAACTTAACAGGTTCTAAGTGCACATGTATATAGAATAATGAAGGAAAAAGTACATATATACATAAGATTCAGTAAATGTCAACTAAACTTTTGTACTTTAACTATTTGTGTTATATTACAATTGCTACTTTATTGGAACATTAATAAAACGGGTTATTTACAAAATCTCCAATGAACTGTAATTATGCTTAAGGATTACACTAAACTAAACTAGTAATAAAATAGCCATTAGGATGGACTTAATGACTTTGAAAATGTAAAACAAACAAATGGTCGTGTGCAGCTTTAGATAGAAAATAAACATCAGTATTTATTCTAAAAATACAGTACAATATCCCAGTCTATGGTAGCCAATACAAAGATTAACTCAAGCGAGAATGAAAGCCAAAGACGAGGATCGGTCGGAAGGGACACGGATGGGTGACTGCGCAGGCGTCATTTGACCGGAATGCCGTCAATGATGCGTATCCTGCCCTGGGCACCTGCTTTTCTACAGCTGACGTTGACCACCTGATGAAAGAAAAATATTGGGTCTAGGCTATTTGATCAGTGTGACAATGAGATGCTATAAATTGCCTTATCGTTGTCCCGTATCAAAAACGGTAGTGGACGGCCAATCATGTTCCGTCAATATCTCATTAAAGCGGGTATTTTAACCACAAATCAAATTTATTTCGTGTTATTATTCATGTCATTCAAAGAATAATCAATATTTAAAATTATTGTTTTTTTTGGACAATTATGATTAATAGTTTTTAACCCACTTAAAAAAGGGGGAAAATCATCAGATATTTCCATTTGTACCTTAAATATGTGGGTATAGTGTATGAAGAAAATTTGAAACAATTAACGTTTGGTCCTATATTTAAAAAAATATGCTATCTTCATAACCCTCATAAAATTCTTGATATTGTAATATTAATTGACACGGATGCTGTAATCAAGGAGTATCTTGTCTTTATCAGTAAAAACAGACTCGTATAAAAATCAAGGAGACAAAGGCCCGCCCCGGACCCGATTATCACGGCGTGAATAAATTCCCTACACCTGATGTAATCTTCCCTGCTATTACCACCATCAGGTATAGAATGAGAGGCCAAAAAAGAAAATGATTAATTGGACTTGGATCGGAGGATTCTTCTTTAAAATGATTCCATAAAACAGAGTACAAAGCCACACGGCCGGGTATATTTCACAGAAATTATTGGCCTCTTTGAAATTATCACCCGTTTTAATAAAACAGTTTCTGTTATCAGTTTCAATGCCCGTAATTAATTAACACCAATTAAACGCTCGCAATTCTTACAAACTTCAAATACATCAGACAATTACTGTCAAAAATGAAATACAACCAGCGTAAAGTTCTCTCTCTCTCTCTCTCTCTCTCTCTCTCTCTCTCTCTCTCTCTCTCTCTGAAAGGACAAGGTATGGTAACGCCTAAATATGTCCCTTTGTTTCATTAAAACGCGCAGTTAAAAACTTAAAATAATACTTCTATTAAAACTAAAATTTATTTCAATTCAAAATACGTACACGAAGGACACTAGGAGGTGACAATCTACTCAATTTTGACGTACTTTTGTCATATTTGAGATACTTTTTCAATTAGGGAAACACAGAGCGTACGTTTGCCTATCTGAGATTTTGATACACATGTATCTGAGTACATGAAATGTAAATTTGGTAGATAGACAAGCTTGCGCTCTGTGTTCTCTGAGGCAAATTGTGCCTATAAATGGATGAAAAGAAGATGGGCGAGCAAAATACCTATTGTGCTACAAATAAGAAAGTTGAAAATTAAATCTCAATAATGACAAAATTTTTTTTGATATCTCATTTAATATTAATGTATACGTTATGTAAAATCACCACAATGGGCAACATTCTCACGAAGATTGAAATTATTTGTCCATAAAATAGCATACACAAGCCAAAGAGGTCAAAAATGATCATTTCTTCATACTATAACACAATGTTTCCTAATGAGTGGGTCTTCGCTCCATTTTTTTGGAAGATTTTGTTAGGTAACAATATCATGGATCAAAGACCCACTACACTTTAAAAATACACATTTATGACACAAAATTCATATCTTTCTGAGAAATATTTAAAGTTCATTTAGTCAAGAGAAATATCATTAACATGATTTAAAACCACCATTTGTCATGAGCTGTATAGTGCAGTAGATAGCGTGTTAGTCTCGGAAAAAAATATTAAAACTTAAGATTTTTTATTGCTTGGGTTCGAACCCTGAGAATACCTGACTTTTTTTAATCACTGAGTGATTTTTCATAAACAGTTTTCCGCAGAAAAGTTTTGTTTTTCATAATCCTATACCTTTCAATAAGAACTCTATACTTTAGATACTAAATTCACAAGAATATGACTTTCATATAGCATTTTATACGTTTGTTCGCCCATCTCCTTCGAATAAAACGAAAAAAAAATTGGAAATTGACAAGTTGTGACCTTCCTTGGATCTTTGTGTATCTCTTCACTTTAATAATCATTCTGATACAGGAATGAAAAAAAGGATTTTGATTATGAACTATTTCATTGTTCCAAGAGAAATCAAAAATTAGGAATGGAAAAAAAAAAGGATTTTGATTATGAACTACTTCATTGTTCCAAGAGAAACCCCAAATTAAGGGCCAAAATAGAGTCTTAACGTATCTTATCCTTTCATTTAATTCCTTTCTCGCGCTGAATTCATCGTTTATCAACAATTATCAAAATAGTTAAATATACAGAAAACCTGATTCTAACAAATTCTTAAGATCGTTACATACATATAACTGAGTTAGAATTACTCGTGGGTAATTAGAAATTCTTTCAACAATGATTGCAATTTGTTCCAATATCACATTAAAGTATAAAATTCTGTATTTAAATGGGGAAAAAACTAAGATTTAAATAACGAGCAGTTTTGATCTTCGGACTGATAGCCAGCAACCAAAAAAAAAAAAAAAAAAAAAAAAAAAAAAATTACTAAATCTTAGACCACCCACAACTTTCTGCACATTATTGGTATTATATTCAACAGTATTTTACCTTTCTCTTATGCACTGAAGCGAGAGAATAAAAGTCAAAGCGATAAAGGTTTCATTTCCCGCATTTTATATAACTTCTCCTTTTACAGTATTCTATATTTGTAATTCAAAAGAAATATGATATTCAAAATATGAACAAATTTCTGTTAATGAATAGTTCAAAGCTACGTCCTCCATGCGGTTTATTTCTTTCTTGACGGCCACAACTATAAATAAACTCAATAGTCAAAGACGACACAACTTTTGGGACATTGGTAGGGTGTGATCTCATTGTGTTTTTAAAAAAACAGACAATACAAAGGTAGCTATCTTCTCACAGAGTTGTGTTTGGGTTAATTAGTTTGAAATCGTGACTTATATATATGACACGGGATATTTTAATTTCTGTTTTAAATACTCGGTAAACTCTATTCTGTGACCTTAGAAAAACATGGAATTTGGAAAGGATTACTACTATCCACCATATCGTAATTCATGATGTTAAGGAAACTTTTTTTATGAAGTTCAAATATTAATTCTTTCAAATTAATTCTTCACTTGCATCTCAAAAATATGCCTTGTATTTCAAACCACATGGGAAAAAAACATCTATGCAAAATCTTCGCATGATCAGATAAGTAAAAATTGCCTGAATCAAATTAAGTCTCTGGAAATTAGTATTCTAACATCAATGTTCAGCAATATTTCGTTCGTTTTTAAATCTATACCACCATTACTAAAACTCCTTTGAAACAGTTAAATACATTTGCACGTACAAATAAAAGAACAAAACTCAAAGTTTTAAATATTTTGAGATCTGATACAAACCACATTCATAGAAATGTCTTGTTTTAGAACAAAAATTACCTCATAACGAGGAAATACCAATTCCTGTTAGATGAGTAATATACATGACTATTTTAATGTTTGTGTAATTAAATCATAATATCGACACATTAGTCAAATCTATCCATTTCAACTTTTCATATCGTATAATAGTTTGTCTCCAGATTGGCTGGTATCGGTCAACACCGACCATAATTCTTGCGCCCCCGGGGTAACTTTGTGGTAAAAGGGGGTGCTTCACTGATCAAATATGCGGTACTTGACTTTACAAACAGACTTCTCTTCAGTTCAGTCGACTGTGGTTAGTCGTGTTTGAATTTGAGAAGTGACGGACAAAGAATATAGAGGCTCGTTTTCTCTCCTTTAACTCTACATATACTCAAAGATACAACCGTGATAACAGATTCGGAATGTAATGTATACTCTCACAAAACGCATCGTTAACTTGACACATCTACTGTTCAAAGCTTACAACTCAACCACGAGTCAATGGACACCAATAAAGTCCATTGTAACCGCACCCTGACTCACAAAAAACCGACGCCTCCTTCCCAGACAAGATACAGTGCTTAAATCAATATTGCTGGACGGACGTGTTGTGACGCTAGGCATTACATCTTTCTGGGCTTTTGACAGACATTTCAAAAAGTCATTAAGCAATTTTATAGCATTTAAAGAAAAACAATATGTTGCATTTCTGTGAAGAGGGCTGAATGGGCTTCTTTACGTTCTGCACAATGTTGGGTGTTTGGTTTCTGAGGATGAATTGTAGTGAGACCTCGCTGTTTACAATGTATCTGAAACTTTATATCTAAATCCTCGTTCAATGGTGCACCATTTCACAAAAAAGAAGGTTAAGGGGAAAAAGTGTTTTATGCTTCCCTTAATAGAACTTAATTTTAGTTTATTTAATTTTTCGTATAGGCATTATTTTTAAAAGATCTTTTTTTTTTTCTTTAACCAAAAGATGGGTCTCTGTATGACTTTTCCACATATACATGGTAGCTCTTTCCATTAAAAAATAATTCTTTAATTACATATAGAATTTGATAATTCTATTGCTTGATATAGATCCCTTTTTAAATATATATATATATTGTATATTTTATCTTTAGGATATATACATATATATTTCTAAAAATTGCCAGTGTTGTGTCCAGGCTATTTTTTGTTTTATTTCAGACTAACAAGTAAGTGCCAAATGCCCCCATTGTCTTAGGAAAACACAACTTTCTATAATCAGTTTATTTTAATCAAATTAAATTACGTCAAGAAAGTTCGGAAAGTGGGACTACTTTTTAGCTTTTCTTGTCCGGTCTAACCAGGCTAGTGTCACTGTTGTGATCGATATCATTTTTCCGTGCCAATGCGAGAGATCGATTTGTGTTATTATTTTGAAACGTCCGTAGTTTTTAAGTATTTTAGTAATCAGTGAAAACTGTAAATGAGCATGTACTTTAAATTCCTCAAGCATGTGGTATATCTTTTCAAGGGAGGCCTTGGAACGAACAATGATCTAAACACCTTTTCTGTTCAAATTGTTCCAAATCTGACACTTCAGTTACTAATCTTAGTCCTATGATGCTATTTTTAAAAGAAACGTGTTTGTCAAGGTCACAAACGTACTACAATGCA